AGGAGCTGTTTTGTTTGGCGTTTGTAGTTTTAAAAATAAAGTTTGTTTCTTTTGACAAGTGGCTCCTGAATTGTGCCCAGTCAGACTGCGGCAAAATCTATCTCTGTTTTGTCCACCATACTGCTCTACTTGCTTTGGTAAGACCAGAAGGAAAAAGAGGGGCGGGCATTCTTTGGTGTGTATTAGTATAGGGGGCTTGGTTTGTCCTACTTTCAATTTGTACTGGAATCACTATAACCATGTTGACTGTGCCTACTTTGACAACACTGTGTGGGTCTCAGTATTCTTTGGGTGGAAAACCAAGGGACCACTCCTGGGTACAGATGCTATTTTTAGGTCCACTGCTGCAGCAGACTGCTCTGCCCAGTACATGCCTGTTTTTATTTGAAATCTTGGTAGAGATGGAAAGAACCTTGGATGGATTGCCAATAGACCTGAGTTTGAACTGCATTTTGCTTGTCCTAGAAATCTAACCTTAGCCAAACTATACAACCTTTCTGATCCTTGATTTTCTCATTTATGTAAGGAGATAGAAATAGTTGCCCTACCCAAAGAGAGAAGATATGCCAATCGTAAGGCACTATACTATTTGCTAGAAAGATCCCTAATGTAGGAATGAGCAAAATCCCGATCGTGTTGTTAAGCCTAGAAAACAGCTGGAGAGAGATGGGATGATGTCAAGCCTTGTATCTTGGTTCCTAATTCTTCCTTTTCTCTGATCCTGTAACTGACACCTTGGGTTACTATGCTGAGGATAAAAATATTAATATTATATATGAAAACCTTTTCTTTGACTTCAAGCCTTATTTTTTTTGCCACCAATTTTAGAAGAAATTCGTGTCTGTGGAGCCCTAAAAATATTTTTGGCACTAGACATTGACCTACAGTGCCTAATGGACAAGTTGCGGGAACTCAGTTCTTGCTAGCTTTCCAGCCCATTACGCCTTCCTCTGCTCAATGCTGCCTCCCAGAGCCCAGATGAGAGCTGAGCCTGCAAAATATGCAGAGAACTAGAGTGGGAGTCCTATGCTTGGCAAGGGGTATCCTTCCTCCTCAGCTGGACCTTGCTGCTAGACTTAGTGAAGCTGCTTCTTGCCAAGGTGATCCTAGAGGGGTCTCTATCCTGTCTGACAATATCTTAGGCACAGCCCATGTGGCTGCTTGTAACCCTGACCCCTTCTCCCTTCTCCCTGCCTTACCCCCCAGCAAAACAGTTTCCTATTATTGAAAGCCTACTGTGTGCTCAGAACTTTAAATGCATTATGACATTGGGTCATCATAGTATGCTTATGAAGTAGGTAATATTATCTCCTTATATATAGGAGAATAATGGGGTCAAGAGCTCTTAGCAATAGCATCTCAGGGCTGTCTTTCCTATACAGGTTTGAGGAACCCAAGATAACTCCCTCTTTCCCTATTGGAAATTCAGAGCTTTTCTTAGAGAAAAATGGGTTGGCTATCTCCAATGGGCTTAGAGCTTCCAGTCCACATTGCCCACACTCAGTTTTGGGATGCACCTTTGTGGATCTTTCAATATCTTGGCCAGGGATAGGAGGTTAATGGAAAACCCATGTCTCCATCAGGCAATTAGGGGAAGACATAGGATCAAATTAAGTTCCAGAAGTAGGAAAGCTGCCTAGTTTCTTGCCCAGAGTGGGACACTGATGAAAGTCAGTTTCATCCTGGAAGACTTCATGTGACTTCTGAGAGCTCTGTCCCTGTGGCATATTATAAAAAAGGATAAGGACTACAGTCTCTCTGGTCATCCCTCTCCCCATTTCCTCCCTCCAGGTTGTGTGTGTGTGTGTGTGTGTGTGTGTGTGTGTGTATTGAAGGTTGAACCCAAAGCTTCCTGCATGCTAAGCACTTGCTTTACCACTGAGCTACACCCCCAGGCTCAGGGAAGCAGCCATCAAACCCCTCAGAGGAGGCCTAGAAACACATAGGGTGGACACACAATAGGGTATGTGTGTGAGAATTAGAAAAGGGCAACTTCTCTGGCTGGGTTCTTTTTAAAAAGGACCCCTCTGGGTGACATACCATTTTCAAAGATGTCCCTTCTTTTTGACTGAAGTACCTAACACCAGAACCCAGGACTGGAGTGGGAATGGGGGATTTCATTCCCATTCCCTGCTCAGCCTTCCCCAAGACCCAGGACCAGTTTGGGGACCTGTCATCATCCTCTCTTCCTCCTCCACTCCTCCTCCACTTTCTGGGCTTCCAGGCTATCTATTCCCCACGTTCCATGTTGAGGAATCTCCAGGCTTTCCAAATGACATCCAATATTTTCCACCTCCCAATAGAAGAATCTAGATTCTCTTCAGAAAGAACACATTGTTGAATCTTTGTGTGTAAACCAAATCGTAGACCTTGGTGGCACAGGACTTGCCTTAGGCAAATTCCTTAGCTTCCACAGGCCTCAGTTTCTTCATCTTGGAAATGGAAATCATAAAAAAATGAACTGGTAGGACTGTTAATGAATGGACTGAACAGAGCACAATGCTGGCTGACATACGGTGCATCTGCCCCGCCACATGAACTGTCACCCTCAGGTAGCCCGGGCCTGCACGATGCCCACAGTGGATACTGTACAGGGGTCCCCACAACTCCTGCAAGCCGGGAGGCGGGGGCCTCCGGCAGACACCTCCAATGCAGTAGGGATGGCCTAGGCAAGGAGGGCCGAGGAGCCCTTCCTGGTAGCTCCCTGCGCTGCCAGGGATCGGGGCGTGTTTCTAGGCGCCGGGGTCAAGGCTGACTCCGGGCTCTGGGAGGCGGCGGGGTCGGAGGGGGCAGCCGGGAGGGCGGGCGAGCGGGCGCGCAAGGAGTTAAGCAGGGCCGCGGGGCTGAGCGCCTGTCAGACGCGAGCATGTGCAGTTTGCAGCGCATCCGTACTATGGGTGAGTGCCGCCGCCACCGCCGCCCGGGGATCCGTTCTGCCCCGGCAGCGGCGGTTGTAGCCCTCCAGCCCCCGCGCCGCCGCGGCGGGCGCCGGCACACGATGCGGGACTAGGAGCGGCGCGGGCTAGCGAGGCGGCGTGGGGGAGGCACGGCCGGCAACTCGGCGCGGGGGGAGCCCGAGCGCCGGGCGTGGGGGCGGGGAGCAGGCGGCGCAGGAGAGCGCCCCGAGTCCTGGCGCGGGAGGAGGAGCGGGAGCCAGCCGGGGAGACGGCGCTCCTGGCGGCACCTGCGCCCCGCGGGCGGCCGGCCCGGCCCTGCCCTGCCCCTGCCCGTGGCTCTGGCCCCGCATCGGTAGGTGCCCCCGATGCCCGCAGAGAGGCCTTTCCGCCACCGAGAGAGGTGGCCGAGCGGGGCGGGCAGCGCCGAGCGCTGGGGGCGCGGGCGATGGGGGGGCTGTGATGGGGAAGACCGGGCGACCATGCTTGGGGGCCCTGCCGGATCCCGCTTCCTCTTTGCTTTCGGTTTCGAAGCGGCTGCCCCAGCTGGAGAGCGAGCCGCAGATTAGCTGGTGCGCCGGGGCTTGGATTCCCTGCGGGGGATGGGCGCACAGGGGGGCGTGTTGGGGAAAGGGGTGCACATTGGCAACTTTCCCCGCCTGAAACAAAGGGGACTCGAGGAGAGGCGAGGGTGAAGGATCCGGCGGGGGATTTCGGGCAGCGGAAGGTTGACACCTCTTCCCCTCGGCAGAGAGCACCCCGGAGGCCGCTTCGAGAGAACAGAGGGGGGCGCCAGTCTAGGTAGACGCTGGGGAGTCAGGGCTTGGGAGTGGGAACCACGGACCCTCCTGAGTTTGAGACAGGACTTTGCTGAAGAGGAGGGAGCCCTTTCAAAATGATCCTGATGCCTCCCCCTGGGGATGCATACCAATCTGGGTGATGGTGGGCTGTACAATTGGGCGTTCTCGATTGCCCCCGTGCCCATCCAGGATCAGGACCCCAACCCAGCCTCAGGCCGCCAGCTCTTAATCTGCCCTCCTCATCTCTGGTCCTTGGTGGGAGGTGCAGGGCCGGGATGGGGAGCCATACAACCCTGTTCCTGGCAAGGACAGGGAGGCATTGGCATTTTTCCCAGGTGTCTTCCTTCCCTTTTTCTCTGCCCAGTCAGAAACTGACCCTCGTTGCTTCTTCCTCTGTCTCCTTTCTTTCTCCAGGGTTTCCTGCAGGGTTATGTTTGGTTGCTCAGGTACAGAGCTGGGAGTGGCAGGTTGTTCTGATGCTGCTTCAAGACTCTTGCAGGAAGAAAAGAGCAGGACCCTGGGGAGCTGTCTGCCAGCATAACCTTGGGGGCTCTGCTCGTGCATTCTCATGTGGTCTCAACACCCCAGTAACAAATGAACTGTTACTGTGGCCTTCAGGCTTTGGATCATGGGGAGCCTAGGTTTCTCTATTTGCTGTGACAGGAAAAGGGTCAAGAGAAGGGCTGAGCAGCCTGCCTTGGGGGTGGTACAGCTTTTTTCTCTCTAGAAAACAAATGGGCCAGTTTCCAGGTCCCTAGACCCTGACCTTGTGTCCCCAGGAAGGAGGTGTCTTGAGCTCCCAGCTGGCTTGCATGTGACCACTGGCTCCCATCCTGTGGCAGGACAGCCTTTAGGGAGCTCAGGTTTTTCCCTGGTTGGAGGCAGACCTGCTTGCCTGTGGAGACGGCAGACAGCAGACACTGGAGGGTTTTGAGCTTCTGGGTGATTCTTCTCCTATCCTGTGAGTGAACTAATGATACAAGTATCTGGGCTAGGAGTGGGCCTACTTAGGACACCTGACTTTAGAGACATGGATGCAACTTTGTGTTTGGAGACAGAGATGGGGTGTATAAGTGAATTGTGGGGTGGGGGAGCTGGTCCTTGGAAAGAAATGACAAGCTAATTTGGCCACTTTGAAGATACTGGAGCGAGGGAGGTTTCAGGACCAGTGATGGTTAGCTGGAGAAAATGAAGTGCCCTGAGCTTTAGATCTATGTTCCTGGAACTTGTGGCTAAAGTCAGGTGCAGACCCTGGACCAGAGAGCCCAGCTGGCCTGCTTCTGTAGACCTCTCCGCTCTAACAGGACAGGGTTGAGGATTGCTCATTTCCCCATTGGGTTTATCCCAAGCTGTTTATTCATAGCTGAAGATGATGTTATGGAGGCCTGACCTCTCACCCCAGAGGTGAGAGAGTGGGCTCTACTGTGGACTGTTTCTCCTATGTTCAGACTATAAGATGAAAAATGATACTCCTCTGACTCCCTCTTTGAAAGTGATGAGGCATGAATTTTTACATTTATAAAGTAATGTAAGAGTCTTGGGTCCTTGAATGAAAGAGATTAGCTTAGTTAGTGAGCCTCATACCGTGTTTATTTCAGTTGTATTGGATTTGCATATTGTTTTTAAAGGGAAAAGTGTCATTTTACAGGAAAGGGCGAAATTACAGCTTTTGTGATAGGGAAAGCTTAGTGTTGGGTTTAAAAGTGTAGTTTTTATCAGAGAAGCTGTTGCTGTACACAGGCAGTGTGTCTTTTCTGTCTGCCTCTGTTCCTGGGACATCGCGGAGCTCCTCCCTGGTAGGATTTTTCCTGGGGTTATCCGGCCTGGACATTATCCGGCCTGGACCCTCCAAGCTCTAAGAAGAGTCTCCTATGATGTTGGGGGCTCTGATGTCATAGGGAGAGACCTGGGTACAGGCAGTAAGGAGAGGCAGCCTGGCCTTATCAGCAACCCTATCAGATCTGGTTGTCCTTGAGGGAGGAAAGGGATAGCTAACCCTCCCCCAGCTGGATAGCTCTCAAATTTGTATCTCTTTACTCTCTCCTCCCTGTTCTCTCCACCCCCAAATTATAGCCATGGTAGTTTGGGTTTTAGTTGTTTTTTTTTTGTTTTTTTTTTTTTTTAATTTCAGGAACATTCATTTTAAAGTGTGTATAACTTCTGCCTGGCAAACTCTCAGCCACTTTTGCGACAGTACCTGGCCAAGGAGAGAATAGGGAAAGCGTTTTGGATATTTTGTCAGGAAGAAATCCAGCCTTACTAGCCTGATTTTCTGCTTATTCTCCCCATGCCCACCACCTCCAAGAAATTGCAGGGTTTGTATTTGAAAAGTAAAGTATGAGATGATTTGGGGGGAAGGGGTACCCAGGGGAGTTTTTCAGTTTTGGTTTCCCTTAAGGGAAACTGAGTCACACGGAGAGTCAACACACTGGCTGTGCATATGCTGGGGGAGTTTCCCTTCCCTTCCCTGGGAGTTACTGAGAGTGATTCGAGTCAAGCATTCTATGAGATCTGTAGGTTAGACCTTTCTATTATGAAATAGAGATGCATGAAGAATTTAGGTACCAGTGTGTTTGGTTCAAGATGTATGACGGCCCATGCTGCTGTGATTCAAGGAAAAGGAAGTGGCTTCTATCCCTGAAACAAGTATCCATAGAGAACTGAGGTGGAATGAGTAACCCAGCACATTCTCAGGATAAAAAGGAAAACCTGCCCCCTTCCCTTTGTTCACATGCCTCGGGCTGCATGGTGGACTCCTGGCTCCCAGGGATTTTGACATCCATTCAGGGCTCCTGGCTCCTATCGTGGCCGGTATTGTAGGATGAACAGCATCATTGAAATGATGATGCAGTCTACATGGGCAGGACTTGGGTCTTCAGTTTGCACCTTCCTTGGGAAACATGGCACCATACAAGACTTCACCTGCCAATTATTATAGGAAGATCTAGTAGATAAGGAGATATCAACTGGGTACCTTCTTGTACACCTATAATCCGAGCCACTCCAGAGACTGAGGTAGGAGAATTGCAAATTCAACACCAGCCTGGGCAACTTAACAAGACGCTGTCTCAAAATTTAAAAAATAGTAAAAAGTCCTGGGAATGAAGCTCAGTGGTAGAGTGCCCCAGTGTCCAATCCCCACAACAACAACAACAACAAAAAGTAAGGAGATGTAGTTGGAGAGAGCACTTTCTGACGGTGCTTTCCTCTCTAGAAGCCTTGCATTTAGAACATAGTAGATTTGCCACTTCTGACTGCTTTTGCAGTTGGACTTGGGTAAGAAATGCTTTCTAGCTGGTTCATTCATTCATTAGCTCAGTTTTTAAGAGGCACCCCTGTCATAAGATTCTGGAATGGTTCATGTTCATCAGAAAGGTCAATTACCCTGAGTTTTAGTAAGGCCTTGACACCAGCCCCAAGGAACTAGGGAATCCAGCCAAGGAGATTGAAGGGCCACAAAGAGAGGATTCTTTTCTGGACTTCTGAGGAGCAATTCATGCTTTGAGATAAAATGTACTTCCTGGGGCTCCCTGATTTCATTGCTGGCACAGTCAGTGGAGGGGAAGGCCCTCGTCAGCAAGTAGCCCACCTTGTGGACAGTAACTGCCATTTTTAGGAACGTTGACAGGGACCTGTTTTCAGCCTGTTGGTAATCTCCATCACCTTTCTCATGATCTGTGATCTCAAACCCCATCTTGGTCTCTAGTCCTTAGGATCTTTTCCCCTGTTGTTCCTAATCAAAACAAACAAACAAACAAACAAACAAAAACCTTTCCAAAGCCAGGACATTAGCCTGTCTTTTATCTGCCATTTTAAAACAGATATGGGCAAGAAATAGTGTTACCACTGGGCAACATCAGCAGTGGTTCCAGGTTTATGTCTTGTCTTTTTTTAAAGTTGTCAATGGACCTTTATTTTATTTATTTTATTCAGTGTTGAGAATCAAACCCAGTTCTCGCACATGCTAGGCAAGTGCTCTACCACTGAGCCATAACCCCAGCCCTTGTCTTGTTTTGTTTTCTTGCTATAAGTAATGAGCTGACCTTCTTATGCTGACCTGTAGATGGCTTAAAGCTTTCATATGGCCACACAGTTTCTAGTACTGCACGTGCTTGTTAAATCACCAGCTGTGATACTTCAATGTGATCACTTACCCAGATTTCTAGGTCATTGGGCATTGATGCTATTTGTATGGGAGCAAATGATTGGCAAAAGTTTCAGGAATCAGGAAATCTGGGATCCCTCCTTGATTTACTCACTTCATTGCAACCTCTGAGATATAATTTCACAAATGGAGTTTCAGCTGGCTTCAGTGATCATAGCAATAACAGTTGACAGCCACCATTTATTGGATGAGAACTATGTACGAGGCATTGGGCTAAGCCCTATGTCCTCCTCCTCTCACAGTAATGAGAAACTGAGTCTCTGTAAGATAAAGTGACTGCACTTATCATGCAGCTAATAAGCATCCCAACTGAGATTTGAACTGAGATCTGATTCTGTTGTGTTCTTTATCCTTGGATTGGGTAATAGAACAGATGTTGGGGAGAGGGTA